ACGGAATAAACGAATCGGTAATTATTTGGTTTTCACGATTTGCAATGTAGTAAATACAGTTTCCCTTTGAATCTAAGTAAACGTCCTTTCTCTTATGAAAATAGTCACCTTATGCTTTACAGTATTCAATTAAAAAAAAGTTACTGGCGAGATAAATGGAATGATTGTTCTGTGAAATACTTATAGAACTTTTCTATTAATACCCGTTGAATTTTATTGTTATTTTTTCTAATTCTTTCTCTGGTATAGCTCTTCTAATTCTTCAGCTTTGCATTATGTTTAAGAAAACTGATTTATTGGCTGCTAGAAAATAAATTTCATTCCGTTGATCAAGTATAATCAGCTAATTCTAATACACAGCCTTTTCTTGAATGTACACACATATAATATAAACAGGAGTTGATTTCAGTTAGAAAAATTTCTAACTTAAATATTACTTCCGAGGTAGCTGTCATGTTTAATTTACATTCAATTCTGCTGACATTTTTAATTTATACCAAATGTGCTACTAATCGATTATTAGTTGCTAAGAAAATAATACAAGTACAACGGATTAATGCAGCTTTTGTAACTCTCTAGTCAAATCTATATACACTGGTTACTTCGTTAAATGTTTTCAACATAAGAAAAATAGGTACTATTCCGTTTTGAGGACTGTAAAAAACTGCAGCGAAAATGTATGCACTAAAGCGCCAAATCTAGCAAACGCGCACATTTAACAGCGCGCCAAATCTAGCATACGCGATGGTTTCAGATTGCGTAAGTTTATAGAGTTCTACATTTCTTAAGACGCCATTGTTTAGTTTTTAAATCCTAGTTTAATTTTTAAATCCTTTTTTGATTTTAAATTCTTTTTTGATATCCTATAGATTTAACAATTTGGGAATTGTCCATGACGAAAAGTGTGCAATAGAATTTTGGGTAAAGTGCAGAATCACCCACTGCTTGACGCGTTTTTAAGAATTGCACATACATGGTATCCATGTACACATCGACCTATTTTCACTTCAAAAAAACAAATCTCAAAATTGCACAAAAATGGCACTGCCCTTGACTTTATCTATGTACACACCGACCTATTTTCACTTAAAAAGTAAAAGAAAATTGACAAAAATCCAATTGTTTTTAGCCTTGTAAGAAGCGGCAAATAAGTGAGCGATTCTGCACTTTACCGAGAATATTTCCAAAGAAAAGGCATCATTCATTATAGAAAATTACGTTTGAACAATAACGAGATGAAATTATGCTTTAGCGATAAGTCGGTAGCGAAATAGCGATGCACGTATCCATTCAGTTACGTTTAGCAATTTTTATATAAATTATAATAATGATTTCAAATAGTATTTACTCTTATCCTCCTCAGACCCGAGACAAAAATAAAAGCTTGATATTTTGTAAGAGGTATTTAAATAGTTGTTTCGATCACTTTGATGTAGAAAAGTGCAATAAAAATTTTTTTTTTAGTTAATGAAAGCTAGGGGGGGATGTATCACATGTGATACATCAGGAACATGGCACTACAATCAGAATTTTCTTAAGTATTAAGCAAGATTGAAGTAATTAATTTAATCTTAGTCTTTAATCACACAATACATACAATTCATAAATTCAACACGAAAATTAAGTTTTATTGGAGTTGTAGGTACATATTATTATTATTTATATTCGTGAAATGCCTTGAAACAATTTCTAGTAGTTGTAAAGCATAGAAAAATCTTGCAGTCTGTACACTTGTACATTTTTAAGGACGAGCAGTTCTCAATTTCCTGCACCTACTTCGATGAGTTCCTATCCCCAGCCATTTCAGGCATGTGCCTATCTTCATTTGTTACGAGCTTGCTTGATGTGGAAATGCAAGTCGTATCTCTGCGTTTTGGAGGGGGCTTCATCATTTTAATCTTCGGGATAGCCGAAGGAGTGGAAAGATGGCTTTTTCAGTAAGCCGTGGATGAGTGTATTTGCAATACTGAGGTCTAAACGTAAAATAGTCCAGAATGTTCTTCTTCTTCGGTCCTCTAATTCTGTCATAGTATTTCTCCTGAAAATCAAATGAAACTGGATTGAACTTATCTGTATGTATTCCCCATTGATTTGGAGCAGAAAAGTCAAAAGGTTACATCCTGATCATCATCATCATCATTCACCTCACATTCCATTATCGCTTTGATAATCCATCCTTCATCTGACAGTGAAACTCAAATCAGAATCATCGCGATTCATCAGCTCTAAAATTTCATCTGGTGTCAAATATTTCACTGAAAAAAAAAAAAATACTTATTAAATAAAAAAGTATCAGGAAAAAATGGGTAAAATGGAATGCAAACACCTCAACTAAAGATTTGAATTCAAGAAATACTTCTATCAATCTTCAAATCCCCCCAAAATATAACTAAAAATTAAAACAAAATTGACTTAAAAAGTGTGTTCATAAGTGATTGGGTCCCATTGTATCACAAGTGATACAAACAAATTTCACAAGTCATTATGCTTTAATATATCAGTAAAAATTTCTTTTTTTGCTGTTAACTAGTAAAAAAGTACATATACAAAGAGAAAGCAATTTTAAAAATAGTTTAATATTTGTATATAAATAAGAAGAAAATACTTACTTCGACGACGTGCAGACATTTTGTTTGGATTCAGAGATGCTACTAGAAATCGCTATCATGGACAAGTACTGCCATGTGTTGACTAAACGAGGAAAATATATGAGGTATTTCACTTTGTATCTTATGTGATACAACCGGTCCCAAATTTGTTTTTGCAGCTCAGCCTTCACAAAAAATTATGAAACTTTTGTATCACATGTGATACAAGGGAACCGAGGAGGTTATGCTTCCCTTCAGTCATGTTTAGCCTTTTTTATATAAATTATAATAATAAAAATGTATTATATGAAATTAACCTTTCATCTAAATTAAAATATCAATCTTAGATAGTTATTTACTGTTATACTTCCTTTCTTGCGTTAGGGTTGCCGCAATTATTTTTGGCAGCACTGGCATCAACAATAGTTTGGCGATTTTTAACGGCCCTCAAAACCGAATAGCACCGAAAAGGGTATATTTATAATGAAAAAATACTATATATAATCAAAATAAAAAATAACTACTAACACACAAAATTTAAAATAATTATAAAATAATAATTAGTTTTTTTTAATAAAACCTAATAAAAGATAATTTAGTGTTGAATTTTGCGATATTATTGTTGAATTGCATTTTATGGTTTAAGACGAAGAACATGATATTTAATAAATAAAGGTAACACATAAAATGTTAAAAAAGTCCCTTTGGATGTAATGTAAAATCTGAAACCTTTCAGATTTTTTTTATTTATTTATAATATATTTCGTGTACGATATAATTACTAATTTATGCATAGGTCGTAGCACTCTTTTATATCGCATGCGTATATTTAGATACTAAACAATTTAAAGCCTGTTCGCGTGACCGAATTCAGAAGCTTTTGATTTAGGCTATTTTTTAACCGGCTGTTTGGTTTTGGGCTATTTTGTCTGGAGCTATTTTCTTTGGTTTCTTTCAGTGTTGGGCTATTTTTTCATTTCCGAAAGTTGGGGAATAAAAAACCAGGTCAACTTGAAAAAGGGCAACGAACGGCAAACAATGCTAAAAACAACGCAACGGTCTTGCAACAAGTGGGCAGCGTCATCAAATCTACGATCGAAATGAACGCTTGAAAATGAAGAAGTGTGGTGAAAAAAGATCTTGCGACCATGAACAGAGTAGAGGCCAGCTGAGATGGTGGTAGCTTGCCGTCGCATCAACGTTTTCTCAATACTAGTAGTTCTAAAGAACAGTGAAGTACTGCGAAATTCGATGAGGATTAGAGACAGAATGCCAAATAAGAAATAACTGATATAAACATAATAAAGCCTAATGATTTAACATTTTAAAATAAAACCCTTTAAACGCTAATTTAAAGAACAGATTAGCGTATGACATACGTATTAATTTTTCCTCTTCATTTTTGTTTAACATTATTTTCTTCTTCAGTTATTCTTTCCTTTTTTGCCATGCTTCCGTCATTTTCATTTGAAGGATGGTGTTGGTGTATTTAATTATGGCAAAGCACCATTTGAAGGATGTTTCAGTAGAAACCTGTCCAAAGAGCTTTGTTTCTTTTTTCGTTTCAGAATGTTTCTGAAATGAGTTAAGCAAGTGTCATCAAATAGTCTCGCTGCACGGCCAGTTGCCATCTTTTCAGGGTGTTTCTTGTCAACAAAGTCTGAAATTTTCTCCCACATTCCCAACTCATAATTTATCTCACTTGAGGAGATAACCTCCTGCTCTTCTGTTTCCTCTACAGTCTTTTGAAGAAATTTCATTTGTTTGCTGCGTCTGTAGTTCCATCCACTCTTCCATCGTCAGTTCTTGCATTGTGCGGTGAGAGGCTGTTTGGTATCTCCGTCATCCACTTCCAGGCCCATGGACGTTTTATGACTCCCAGTCTCCTCTAGCACTTCCTATTCAGATCTAAATCCTTCAAAGTTAAGTTTTGCACTCGCCAACTGCTGTGACATCACCGACGCTAGTCCGTACCTCAAAGTTTGACTAGTAAGTCAGCTCCAAAACTAGTCCTATCCTCGGACTGGACCTCGTATCTCAAAAAAAAACTCGTATGTTAAGCACCTGTTTCTCAAGATACCACTTCATATTTTTTATATTTAAACACACAAATCTTGCGGAATTATCAATTAAAAAGTGTGGATATCACATTTTCTTTTAAAAAAGAAGTTAACAGAAGTTTTGTGTTTTACACATATTCCATTTTTGCTGTTAGGTGGATCATGTACACACTTTTTTAAGGTATAACTTCGTTTTGCAAACTGAGAAATAATATTCCCTAGTTTTGAATGCCGGTTCTGTAAGCGATGTATTTTTAATTGAAATCCTAAGTGTGTGAATTAATAAATGTGCTTTTAGTAGAAGCAAAACATGCAAAATATTTGTATAATAATTTAAGGAAATATACTTTACCTTCCTTCTGTTAGCTTCCTGTCGTCGGATACTTCCTTGTCTGTGAACAGGAATGTCTTTTAAGAGGCATCTGGCAACCTGAAAGCAGGTACCGGCGATGAAAGAGAGAGGGAGTATGTAGATGAAAGCAAACAAGAATGTATAGTATGCGCGCCTGAAATTCTCAGGCAGCATTATAAAGCATGTGAGCCTGGAAATTACTCCATACTGGCTATGCAGTGTATTGCTGTATGCTTCCGAAGGGTAAAGGAAAGGGGCGGCCACACAGCATGGGAGTATCCACACCACAAATAGGATCCTCTTTGCACGAGCTTTGGTCTGCTGCATTCGAGATTCCAGCGGATGAAGAATGGCCATATATCTAAGGAAGAAATGATATCCGAAATAAGACAGTTTTGAGTTAGAATGAATTTGTTCATTCTGTTATCCATAATTTTTATATATTAACTAATATAAATTAAATACAATTTTGTTATACAAAAACAACACGTTTAAAGAGTTAAAACAATTGGATGTAGAAATTGAAAAAAAAAAAAGTTAATAAATATTGCAGCAAATTTCTGCCCTAAACTACAAAAATTCATATTCGTGAAAAATAATTTTCAGGTTTTCTTAAGTAATGGAAAAAACTACTTCATTACGTAAGCGAATGCACGATATTTTTTATGTTTTACAAATTTAAACATATATGTTCTCCAAATTTTGTATACAAAAAAAGTAATCTTACAAAGGTCACTTTGTAGTTTATAACATTTCCATTAAATTGTTGAATTTCAAATATAATAATCTCATAATTATCATTTAAATATGGCCATAAATATGGCTTGAGCAACCTCGCAATTTTATTTTTAGTCACATATGATGTTATTAATAGTTAATGCTTCTTTTTTTTTCTTTTTCTTTCCCTTTTAGCAACCTCAAATTTTTATTTTCAGTCACATATGACGAAGAATGTTATTATCCACTTGCGCTAAAAAGACGTGCCCACGCACGTCGAGATGCTTTTGTCTGAAACCGCGCGCAAAAATAAAAATAACGTGGTGCACACATCACCTAACAACGAGATTGTTTATTTTCTCGAGTTACAGCTCTGGATTGCACTCGAAGACGCGGGCCTACCAGCGGCCGAGCGGTAAAGTCGCTGAACACTGGTAGTTCGGTTCGAAGTTCGAATCCCGCGAATGGGCTGGCTGCATGGGCGTTTTCGTGGCTTTCTCCATGTGTAACGTGTATACGAGCCAGTTTCCCTTAGAACGTCCTCCACTAAGGCATCCCACCCCTTAGGCAGATGGCCCTCGAGGCTTTGCCATAATCACACGCACACACAGCAGACGCGGAGCGGCGTAAATGAGACACTTTTACCGCTTGTTATATAGTAGCGCACGGCACCGCAACCGTGAAGTTTAGTCGTAGCGCAAGTGGTTAATAGCTAATACTTCTACTTTTTCTTTCCTTTTTTGTTTCTTCTTTTACTTTTCAGTGTATTTGATTAAAGTCATGTAAATTTAAAAAAGGCTTTTATGTATAGTTCATATGAAACTTCTAGTTAAAGGAGAAAGAAAGTTAAAGGATTTCTTTCTAGTTAAAGGAGAAAGAAAATTTTACCATATTAGTTCACATTCCTTGAATTCAAACTTCTTTTTTTTTTGCTTAAATAAAAAAACTGAGAAAGGAAATCTAACAAATATTTCTTATGTGTTAGCCTGTCGAACAGCCAATTAGCGCGATTTAGCGCTAGTTATAGACGAACGTGTCCTTTCGCGTTCTGCGGTAATGATTGGCAATTGGCGATAGTTACCATTTCCTCTAGAGGTCGACGGGGTTATATGTAAGTACCAATAACTCAGCCCAGCACTTGCCAAAGAAGTATAAATTTAGCAAGCTGAGACTAAGTGGTGTGCTTTCTTAACTTTTTCAGCAGCATGGCTAATGCCGAAATCTCCACCAGTGGCCGCGTGGTTAAAACCAATAAATACTGGTACTTCATCCTGGGTTCGAACCTGCGAACAGGCTGGTTGCGTAGTTGGTTTTCGTGTTTTCCCCATGTGTAACATGAATACGGGCCAGTTTCCCTAAAACGTTTGCCATGAAGGCTCTCTCACCTCTGGCAGTGCTCACTCTGGAGTGCTTTGCTGTATTCAAATAACACACATATCAATATGTTACAGAGAGATTTCAGTCTGTATTCAAATCTTGGAACATACACCGTGATCTTCAAGATAGAAACTGAGCTACGTCTAACAGGATTGCGTTACTATGCGTTAAGTCTTTTAACTCTTTCAAGCAGAAGTCGCCCGAAATGCCCCCCCCCCGGCATAAATATCATGAAGTGAGAATACTCTCTTTCATGAAGAAAGATCTGCATCATACCGACTTTCGAATTTCAATGCATTTCGAGAATATATGTGGCATGCAGTAGTGGAATATGAATATATATTGTAATATATATTGTTGCGTTCTACGGGTTAATGGATATGGAGTGATTGGGGACAACACTTGATGAAGAATCCAAGCACAATTTATTCGTCAGTCACACACAGGAGAGTTTCAAAGACACGTCTACAACTGTCGAAAAACTACGACAAACGCGCTGAAACAATCAGCAACACAGCCTTCAGACTTAAGGACTAAAGTACAGGTCCCGACTCGGTCAATCGCTTTCAAGCTAATCTTTCAATTCAAATTTCTGAAATTACTGAACTCAATATACTTAAGATACTCTTCACGATAAAACTGCTATTCCGCGTACAGGCAGGGTATTTATAGCTTTTGACCTGCGTTCGAGAACATTCTCGGGAAAACCGGTAATAATTCGTTCTAGACTGTTCTCGCTCCGTCTATGGCATATCGCAAATTTGGTCGCCAAATGGGCGATTTTGGGAAAAATCTAGCTACCCTGCGTTTCCTCGCCATTTTATGGCAACTCTAAACTCGCTTTGCGGGGAAGCTATCTTACCGAAGCTGGGCGTTTCGCAACAATATGTGTTTAATATCGTGCATATAATTATCATCCTCGCTTCCCAATACCTTTACAAAAAGCGTCCAAAAGAATTAGGAAATTTGGACTTTGCAAATGAGTAGCAAAGAATTCACATGGGTGCAGAAGTATAGACTGACTACCAATAAGTATTTGGACACCTATGCAAATGACGATATCTGCGGTCCTAAGGTACATCAAGGACTCCGCCGGTATATATCATGTAGGAAACAGCATCGGCTTTAGTCGCATGCAAGATGCCTCGCAGTTCGGAGCTCTCTGATTTCGAGAAAGGTATAATTATCGGGTATAAAAAATGTGGCCGATCCTTAAGGGACATATCTAGCGATCTGAAGTACCCAAAATCGACAATGGCCTATGTTATTAAGAAGTGGAAGGTGAGCGAAGATTGTCGGAATGTGCCCCGAGTCGGCAGACCAAACGAAACTGGGAGATAGAGACCGACCAGTGCTGTCCACAGAAATTCGGAAGAACCGCACCCAACCGATGGCCCTCATCCGCGAGGAGTTTCAACAGGCATCCGGGAGTATTGTTTCAATGAATACCATCCGTAAGGAAGCACATCTGCTTGGTTTTCATGGTCGTGCTGCTGCCCATAAGCCTATGATCACAAAGTCCAACCGCGCTGCTCGGTTAATGTGGTCAAAACACATTGAAATTGGACCGTAGATCAGTGGAAACGTGTTCTTTAGAGTGACGAATCAAGATTCACCGTGTACCGTTCGGATGGCAGGGTCTGGGGTCTGGCGTCTACCTGGAGAACGTCTCCTGTCAGAATGCATTGTGCCAACAGTCAATTTCGGCGGAGGTGGAATTATGGTCTGGGAGTGTTTCTTTTGGTATGGGCTGGAACCCTTGCTCCCCATTCACGGTAAGCTCAACTCTGATGCCTGCTGCACTATTTTGGATGACAATGTGCTTCCTACGTTGTCGCAGTTTTATGGGTTGGACCCCTGTTACTTTCAGGACGACAATGCCAGTTGTCATGTTTCGACGTTAACCAAGGCTTGGTATGGTGCCAATGGAGTTCATCGAATGGAATGCCCAGAGTCCAGACCTGAACCCTATCAAGAACCTCTGGGACGAGTTGCATCGCCGAATTCAGGGGTGCACTACCCGTGCAAAATCGGTGAAGGAACTTCTATGTCTTCTCCAAGCCGAGTGGAAGAAAATACCACTAGCTGTCATACAAAGACTTGTGGAAAATATGCCCTGGAGGGTCCACGCTGTAATTACCTCTCGTGGAGGCTCTACCAACTATTGATTTTGAATAAAGTTAGTTTTTCTTTTCTATCACAGTCGTCCAAATACTTATTGGTATTCAGTGTATTATATACTGGCGAAATTGCAGCCACATACTGCGAGATTTAGAGTCTCAGGTATTAAGGCATTTGGAATTTTGTAGGTGACTTAAAATCCATATGTGTATCAGATGAAGTGTAATAAACCAACCATTTCTATAAAGTAAAATCCCACTTAAAAGAAATTTCATCAATTGAAATGATAGCCAAAGATAATATTAAAATCAATGATACCAAAGATAAGTATCTCCAATTATTTAAAAATCATTTTATATTGTTAAAGTGTCATTTTAAATATAACAAAGTGAAGGTCACAGCTAGTTTTGACTGGTCTTGTGTTCATCCAGTTTATTGCATGGGTCATTTAAACAAATGTTCTGGATTATCAATAATTTTGAAAATTATAACTCATGTAAATAGTTGAAGTCCAGGACTAGAAAATTACTTTAATACCAAATTGTAGTATAAAAGAATGCGGTTTATAAATATTTTTTGAAAAATAATTCTTGCAACATTTCTTATAATGCTTGTCTGAACTGAAAAATACATGAATAAATTGAAATTGATACGAGTATCTTTTCTTTGTAACCAACTGCTTTTCATGAAAAATGCATGCCACTTTTGAAGCAGCTGAAATAAACCGATCGTACTGAGAATTCACTAAGGAATAGCAGACGTCTATTTTTTATTTTTATTTTTACTTTTCTCCTCATCTTTGAGTAATAAAATATAAAGTACTGGTGAGTTCGATTCATTTGATTTGTAGAAGTTCCAAAGCGAAGTTTTTATATTTACCTTTATGAAAAGCCAGTAAAAATATTAAAAGTCCATTGCAAACTGGCGTAGCATAAGCATATCATTACACATAAATTGAAAGGTGAAGGATTACGAGTTTAATCTTTGCGAATTCCCGGTTGGATATTAAGATAATATTAAATACGGCAAATAGATGGAAATCTATTAATATTCTATTAGAGATGGGTTACTGCTTGAGAAGCATTAATGTTGATTAACTCATTATAAAAAAACTTTGTGTTAAACCTCATTAAATGCTTTCATGATTTCAGCAAATGTGGCTACAACTATTTTCTTTCGTATTAACTCCCATCCATGTTTATACTTTAGTGACTTAATGCATGGTTTCATCTTCAGTGATTAAGAAACTGGACAGGTTTTAACGCAATGTTTTGACAACAAATTCTCTTCATGACTATTCGTTCAAATATTTTAGTTATATCTGACAGAAAGTTGGTCTGTATCTAACTGGATTTTTAGAATGTTTGCTTGTCGTTTTACTGTGCAGCAGAACTATGAAGAATTCGTTTTTCTTCTTGAGTAGATATAAAGATTGTTTTCTAAAGACTAGCATAAATTTAGAATGAATAACGTAATATAACTAATTCTATTAACCAGATTAGTCAGCTACTTTAAACAGTGCAGTGATTTTAATCTATCCCAACATCTAAACTATTCATACCTCTTTTCTAATCTATATTCAGGATCACTGACAGAAAATTAAGCTCGGTATGGTTGGTCATGGTGCGGTTTCGGAGCCGTTTGCAGCTGTTAGGAAAATTGCGGCTGTTTTCAGCATTTATGGTATATTAATTGCATAAATAAATTTCAAATTTGAAAAAAAAAAAAAAAAAAAAAAAAAAAAAATTGAAGGGTTTAAGATGTTAAGGATCGCCCAAAAGGCAGGCTTTGTTAAGATTTTTACGTTTTTGCAGAGCTCGCAGTCTACCAGTCTGCTGTTGCGCTCAGGCCTATTAACCCCTTCCCTTTCTTTGCCTTTTTAGCTTTATTATTACCTTCAGTTTTCTTCGCACTTATGGCATAATACTAAATCAGGAAAATCAAAAAAAATTTTAAAAGCATAGCATATTATGTTTAGAGTTCTGGATGCAGAGTTAAGTTTTTGCATGCATTTTTCCATTTTTCATGTATTTCTCAGTCATCATATCAATGTTCAGATTTCTTAGTTGGATGACTGTCAAAACTTTCCTTTTGCTTTTATTAAATATCGCGTTCTTTGCATTTACGTTACATAAAATTCAATTCAACAGCAAAGTCACAAAATATTTAAAAACAGCATATCTTTAGTATTTCGAATAGACTGTCTCACGCTTTGAAGATAAAAATGTTTTATTCTGTTCAGTTTTGCTACTGCTCTCTTTCAAATCGTCGAGCTTGTTATTCAAAATTAATTAAAGTTTGTAGAGATATTAGGTATTTTTTTGAAAGCAGACGAGATGAAAAACGAGCAGTGCACTCGAACCACGGACCTTTCGAATACGCGTCGAATGTGCTGACAACTATACCACAAAGGCATACTAAGAAGGCGGGAGAAATATAAGTTTAATAAAATATGAAATAAGTAATAGAAAATATATTACGTCATTCTATGAAAATTTTGAATATTTTTAATTAGCTATACGACTTAAATTCATTATTAGTCCAATAGGCTTTGTCCCTGAAGGACTATTGTTTTCGTTTTGCGATTTTGCGTTGAATCACTATAAATGTTCGTTTCACTTTTCAGACTGTTGCCACCAAATGTTAGAGTCCTGCAGTATATTTGAAGAAATTAAATAATGAAAAATCTGTATAAATGTAGGCATATTTCTCGCATTTTGATAAAACAACGGTACCTACAGCCATCAAATTTTGAATGACGTCATCCTCCTACGAATATAGGCATGTGGAAGACTAAATTAGAAATTTGGAATTTGTTTTATGATCGATTTCATAATTGTAAAACTTTTAACGAATTTTTGAATAACAAACTCCATGATTTAAAAGCGAGCAATGGCAACACTCTGCGGAGGAGAAGGAACCCTTTTATCTCCAGCGCGCGGAACTGTGTATCGGAAATACTAAAGAGATGCTCATTTTAAAATTATTTTGCGACGTTCCTATTGAACTGAATTTCATGGTAAGAATATTTTCAAGAGCTGCATCTATTGCTTTCAAATAGCTTAGTTTGTTATTCCACAACAGATGCATCAATTCCACAACATTCCGCAACAGGAGAAGAGGAAGAATGATCTTGTTTGTTTACATTTGCTACACATAAGTCAGGTGATCTCTGATATCATCGAAATATACCTTATTTGAAAAGTAGCTATCTTGCCGGATGGCAACTCGAATCAAAAGTGAATTCGACGTAGAATCCCCCTTCAAGACTCAATCCACTTTTGAGCTAAAAAAAAAGGAAGGGAGGGAACTCAAGGTCAAATAATTTTTTTACATTTTTATGTACAGTTCTTCATTTGTTAATTATATCGAATCCTAAAGCTTTTTTTAAAATCTATTCGTACTTTTTGACATTCTTATGTTTATAAACAATATCCTGAGAATTACAAACAGTAATTACAAACAGAATTTACAACGGATCGGACTGTGCTCAAACAGGTATCGCCAAAATATATTAAAAAACAGCAGTTTTAAAGGCTGTTGATGTATAAAAGTTACAGAATATTTTTAAATTAGAAACAATTTTAAATCTTGGCACCTCTTCTTCAGTTTCGTCAAAAATTTGACTGGCTATAAAAGAATTTCATGTAAAGCTCAGCGGGTTTGCTGTGAATGGTAAAATCTGAAATGAGAACTAAGAATAAATCCTATAGTAACAAGGTAAAAATCCCATATTGCAAGAAAATTGCATATTTCACAAGTGCACACCTGCGTAGCCACCGAGGGAGTGGCTTTTAGGATGGACCAATGAGCATCCAGTAATATTTCTCTCATGTCACATCACCTTTCGCGTACATTAAGATTTAAGCAAGATGGTTGAAAATATTCTGCCAAGCAATTTACTGTAAAAAATAATTAAAGCATCATCGATTGCTTCTGAAACTTTTCATTGCGAAGTTAGATCAAATAGAGGCAATTATGAAGATTTCACTACCTGGTTGAAATAAATACAAACACATGTTAGATACTTCGCAAAAATATCGATGTGAAATATTACTTAATAAGTGGTAAATAAGATAAAGAAAGAAATATGTGATAAACATCTGAGCGCAGATGCAATCTTTATATAAAACTATGTGTATGAGAAAAATATTGACACCAATTATATATGTAAAAAGAAGTCAGCACTTTTTATCGCAGTCTATATGAAAAAGATGATCTAAAATAATAACCAATGCAGAACTTTATTCAAAGTGAAATTTACTAATTAGCATTCGTATACATTTAGTGTGTTAAATTTCACATTTAATAACTTCTCACTCTTAAGTGCACTGTCTACTCAAGAAATACTCATCAAGCAAAGTGAATTTATCTTATTCACGAGTATATTTAATTTATTCAGATATAACTTTTAATTTTAACACTGGGTATAATCAGATTATATGTATTCTGAATCTCACACTTTAAAAATCAAAAGAATGCAAGCACTGAAATAAGAAAACACTAGATGCATTGTAACACTTTCAGTCATTTTCATTTCAATTAAAAAAAATATACACTTGAATTCTCTTAATCCACATATCCGTGAACATCAATCCCAATATTAATGCGTTTAAAAAATCTCGAAAGTGATAGTCGCTATAATTAACTCAGAAACGAAAGCCTACCGGATTTTCTATTTCGCCATATATTTATAACTGCGAAACAAATGCAAATTAAAAAGTAAACAACATACTCTCACATGCACGAAGATTTAGCGTCACCCAAAAGCAATAGCAGCTCATTGATCCATTTTCGAAACCCCTCCCTTAGTGGCTGCGCTGATGTGCACTTGTGAAATATCCAAGAAAATCTGATCTTAAGGCGAAAGGAAGTATACTTTTTTCTGTTAATTCATGACGCTTAGCGTCGCAAAAATTATCATTCCATAATTCTTGAGTCCCAGGACTCTCTCTTCCTCTAGTGCTATCTCGCAACTTTCCTTTTGAATTTAGAATTAAAAACTTTAGTTTAATCACGTGAAGGGAATTAATTTGCGCAAACTGTGGTTAGCTACTTTTCGATGCTTTAAATCATTTTTCGATTTCAGTCATACTAATAAAAATAATAAGGGTATAAAAAATGCTTTTTCGATTAAGAAAAAATATAAATTTCACTTATTATAGTCACTAAATTTTATTTTATTTTTTGAATTTTGAAAACATTTATCTTTCTTTTCTTTTATTATATTTATCTCTCGTATTTATTTTTATATTTATCTTGCTTTTGATGAAATGCCTTAGATAAGTTTAATATCTTGAAAATTTAAAATTTCGTTCAAGCATCTGTCTTCACATCGTAGAGTTCCCTTGTTCCTTTTGGGATCATCCAATGGTAGACTCTAATGAAAAAAACTGAGTAGCGAATTCCCGCTATGTCTTGAAGAACAAATAATAGTTATAATAATAAAGAAGAAGATTTAAATAACTTTTTTATTTGAACTAAGCTTAATACAGATTTGCACTCACTCGGGGCTCACAATTACCACCATTTGTTGTGGCTAAGTAATTGAACAGGAAATAAAAATATAAAATCACAATAAAGTGAGATGAGCTAACGATTGGTTCTTTATTTATCTAAACCGCTAAATCGGCTGCACTCCGCAAGGCCTAACCTTGAAGATCGATATAATCTGAAGAGGGTGGCTA